GAACAGTAACGTACGTGTAGTAACGGTACGAACAGTACCGGTACGAACCGTAACGGTTACGAACAGCAACGTTACGAACAGTAGCGGCACGAAAGCAACGGTATGAAAAGTAACGGTGCGAACAGTAACGGAACGAACCGTAACGGCAACGAACAGTAACGTTACGAGCAGTAACGGTACGGACAGTAACGGTGCGAACATTTTGCGCATACAAATCACTACGATACGATTATTGCGGTACGTACATAACCCTAAGGCTTCTAGAGTAAAAGGCCCGCGCAAACATGACGTCACCATGGAACTAAAGTTTGGTAGCTCGTCGTATGACACTTGGCTGGTACTATGAAAAGGTTGGTCGACACCAGCAATATGGTTAAAAAAAAACGGAGATTTCGCCAATAAACTGGGTTGCCATCCTTTTTCGCATCTTTATTGCAACGTTTTTTTTAACAGATCACACATTTTGCATTTCAAACCCTCTAAAGACAAATCAGTACCAGAATCTGCTTCTAAAAATATGTCCTACTAAACTCCGTTTTCCAGCTCCGGCACCTGCACCATGTTTGTCATGTCCAATGCGCCTGAATATCGATGTGTAACGCCTTTTCGTCAACTGAAGATTTGTTAGTAAAAAAATCGCATGTAATCTTTACATCAAACTTATTCATGGGCAATGACTGCCCATCTTTCTTCGTGCTGTAGTACCTATATTGAGTGAAATGTACGAATACGTTGATGTGATGGGGGCAGGTGCCAATAATTTCACTGCTACTGTGTCATGATCCTCCCAAGCGTTGGTTAACTTGCACATCCACCATGTCGAATAGGTTCGGGGAAAATGGTGCGTAGGGAAGAATGCCCCGACTGCCCCAATATATCCCCAAGACTATTTCCGAGCTGAGATATTGGCTATGGCACTTTGACTGGCAGAAATCGCAAAACTTGCCGGAACAGTTCCATTTCACAGGAAAATCTGCCCTCTTGAACTGGAATGGCGCGCGCCACATTTACACCTCCGGGTTCACCACTCACTACCCCCATTAGGGCAGGCCAGCCCTGCATCCACCCCGACAACGCCCCTCCTAAGGGTCCAGGATGTGTATTTCCACTTTCCAATGCGCGTCCCAGGGCGCTGCGCGCCCGTCTGGGCCGCCGTTTCTCATCTCCGCCCTATGTTGTTAATGTATGTTGTACTCTTTCACACACTATTTCTAAGCACTTCCGGCCAGAGCTCTTCAGAATAAATCACAGATGAATGGGTAACCCCATCTCACCGTTGGGAGCAGGCTGGAAGCTCATTTCAGCGATAGTTTTGTAGCTCTGCCAGTTTTGTAGCTAATACCAAATCCCAGTTGAAAATGCTTTGTTGAATGGACTTGGCAAAAAATCCGGATTATGAGGATATTTATATTTGAACCAACCCGCAAAAACAGCGTTTTAACGCCGCCGTCATATTGGTGCCATATGATTTAGTCCCGTGATGACGTTACAGCATTGCCTACCCAGAATGCGGCGATGCGAGGGCTTGCATTTCGCAGCTATGCCAGTTGTGATGCAACCAAATGCGGTACAGACATCATCCGTTACGAACATCCGCTGTCCGTACCTTTGCCCACTTATTCAGTTCCGGAACCTTATTGCGTCAGGAAGCACAGGCATCGTCGGATCCGACTGGAGCGGGGACACTATACTGAAGCAGGGACACTTTACTGAAGCTGGGACACTACAGCAAGTAATGGAGTTCCCAGTAGCAAACTCGCTACCACTGGCCAAATCGTGCTGCTGGTGAGCGGCCAACAGTATGTCATCGCGTCCTGATGGGCCGAGGTGTATCCAGTGATCCCCGCTCGCTTCACTGTCCGCTCAGTACCACAACCAACCCCCTCACGAGCTCCCCTGCTCAGCCTTGCTTTTCGGGCCGCCTGTCGTGAAACGCGCGATGCGTGTGATCTGGCAGCCCCGCTGGATTTGCAGCCACTCCGACTGGCTCTGTGAACTCTACACGACGTTCGAACCGGCATTGTAGAGCCCATCTCCAACGCTGCTTCGCGTCGTCCTCCGATGCACCAGCGTCCACCGAGTGTCCTGTTGCCGTTCGGCCCGGACGAGGCTGAGCCGCGGCCAGGCTACGGGCAGGCCGGTGTCACGTCGTCCCTATGGATGCCGAGGCGCCGGCCGGACGACCCCCAGAAGTCAGACGAACGGAGCAGGTCCAGACCATCACGGCACGCAGATACGGGCTGGTCCAGCCGCGGACCATGCGCACACACCAGCAGCGCGCTAGGTGTCGGGCCCAGCCCCCCCCCCCCTTCCCCAGGACAGGGTCAGCGCCATGATTTCTGAGTCGATTATTGCGTCGGTGTTCAAAACGCAGCTCCTCCAGAGCATACAATATGCAGCGGGACGTATTGAGGGCACGCTGCCCCAAAACTCCCCCTCCCAGAACAATGTACGCACCACGATCACGTGACGTGATATTAGCGCCATGCACCGTGGTTGTTTTGGGCCCCTCATCAACATTCGGGACGTCACGTAAGGTAATAATGCCGTCATCAGTAACCCAATTAACGTGGTCACGCAAGATGAGATCGGGCCCATAGCCCGCTGACCCAGTACAGGTGGCCGAGATGCATGCACCTGCGACGGTGTATGTAAACCTGCGGTTAGCACGCCGTGCGCGGTGTAAGCGGAAGCTACCTAAGTGGAGAGCTACACGAAATAGGGCATACACTTTGCCTTGATCAGCCGTCCTAGCAGGGCGCGGTTTCGGGCTTTTCATCCCGTTCCATTCGGGCTTACTATCTCTAAAACGGCGCCAAACGCCTCCGATGGACGTCGCGGATATTCCTTCGAAGACGACGCTCAAAACATATCCCCTCCGTCTTAACGACGTTTCAATATATGCATGCGATTGACAAGCCGGTCCGGTGGGCTCGAAACACCACTGCGTCGCCCGCACGAAGGAATGTCGGACAAAGACTATGCTCATTTTCTTCATTCCTCGATTCACAGGCTTCGAGTGAGCTGCGACTACGGCTGAAATCCCACGAACTGCCGCACCGGGGATAGTACGGGGTCAGAGCCGACACGGGGACGGCTCACCCAACTGTCGCCGGCACCAGAACTGGGAGAGCCACGTGAGCGCTGACTGCGGCCACACCTGCGGCCGGGACCGGGTCGGCCATGCCGCGGCAGCAGCGGCCGGCCGGGCGGCGCCCCCTCCGTCGTGCAGCAGCCCGGTACCCACCGTGGCCGGGTGTCGCCGGCCGGCGCCCGCCGCCTGCCGGTGCAGGAAGTGGCGCGCCCTGTCCAGCACCCCGCGCACGTCCGTGCCGCTGCCGTCCGAGTCGGTCGCCGCTGAAACAGCCACACCGGCGCTGACGTCTCACCGTCGCTGACGTCACACCGGCACTGACGTCACACCGCCGCTGGGTGGACGGGACACGGAGGTGCGGCGGTGGTGCAGTGGTAGCGAGAGTGGACGGTACAGCAGTTAAGGCCAGACGTACGGTGATACTGAGGATACTCGTTATCAAAGGTGGTGCGACGGCCCGCTGGTAGCGACAGCAGAACTCACTGGCTGTTGCATGCTCAGCCTGCATAGTAATGACTACCCCAGAGTAATCTACGCAGAATGAACCTTGCTTCGATGCCCCGACATACCGTCCGTTGCCACGACAAACATGTAGTTAAAAATAGCCTCGTTACGGACAAGTCGAACAACAGGGATTAATTCCACACGTTTGACGTCATGCTCCAACACGCTCTGACGTAATCCCCAGCGCGGCACCAGAAGAATGGTTGGTTTTGCATACGAAGCTGAAATATCGCCCAGAAACAACTAGTTCTTGCCATGCATTTCAATTCTCGCAAAGTTGGACGGTCTCCCTCATTGAGCACATGCTTCCCGTGTGAGCAACCGATACCGGCGGCGCTAGTCGAGCCCCGCACCACCCCGGGAACCCCGCAACCGCCACTGACTGCGCTAGTCGGGCCCCGCACCACCCCGGGAACCCCGCAACCGCCACTGACTGCGCTAGTCGGGCCCCGCACCACCCCGGGAACCCCGCAACCGCCACTGACTGCGCTAGTCGGGCCCCGCACCACCCCGGGAACCCCGCAACCGCCACTGACTGCGCTAGTCGGGCCCCCGCACCACCCCGGGAACCCCCGCAACCGCCACTGACTGCGCTAGTCGGGCCCCCGCACCACCCCGGGAACCCCCGCAACCGCCACTGACTGCGCTAGTCGGGCCCCGCACCACCCCGGGAACCCCGCAACCGCCACTGACTGCGCTAGTCGGGCCCCGCACCACCCCCGGGAACCCCCGCAACCGCCACTGACTGCGCTAGTCGAGCCCCGCCACCACCCCGGGAACCCCCGCAACCGCCACTGACTGCGCTAGTCGAGCCCCGCACCACCCCGGGAACCCCCGCAACCGCCACTGACTGCGCTAGTCAGGCCCCGCACCACCCCGGGAACCCCCGCAACCGCCACTCACGGCCATCGCCGTCGTCCCACATGCCGAGCGACCTCATGCGTTGCTTCATCTGGCGCACAGCCAGACGGGCAGCGCTGGCAGCGGCCGGCGGCGGCGGCGGCTGCCGAGGCAGGGCCTCCCGCTGCGGCGCACGGCTCGCCGGCGGCCGGTGCCGGCGCAGCGCCGGGCTGGAGGGCGACGGCGCCGGGCGGCCGGCACGCCGCGCAGGGGCGCCGCCGCCCACCGTCGGGCACTGCGGGCACGAGCGGCTGGCGGCGGCCGGCAGCGGCGGCGGCGGCGCGGCGCCCTCCGAGCTCTCGCCGTCCGAGGTGTCCCAGAGCGCGGCCGGCGGGCTGGCGCGCCGTCGGTGGCCGCAGCGCGGGCAGGCGGCGGCCGGCAGCGCCCACGCCTGCCGCACCGGCCGGCCGCGCGGCGTCGATGTGCGCGGGTCCTGATGGCGGCCCCTTCACCGGTGCCACGTGCTCCGACGCCGCCTCTCTGATCGCTGCGTCGGCCGGCGTCACCTGGACGGCGGCGTCCTCCCGGGCGGGCGCCGGGGCGGAGTGACTCTCCCGGCCGGCAGTCGGCGCCAACTCCGGCGTCCGCTCGCCCGCCGCCTGGCGGCCGGGGTCGGCGGCGCGACGGTCGACACTCCCGGGTCGCTGCTCGGCAGAGTGCGCTGGCCGCCCTGCGGCATCCCCATCCAGGTCACCGCGTTCACAGCTGATGGTCGGCCGCCGGTCCGCGGCCGAGTCCAGCGGGACCCACGCCGCTGTTCTGTCGGTCACGTCTGGAGGGGAGGCACGCTCCTGGAGGAGGCCTCTGGGGACGCCGCTGTGAGCTACTGAAGCGTCTCGCTTCGGTCGAATCCCGGAAGCTTTTGATCTTTCGTCAACTTGCCCGAGCGCGCCACACTCCTCCGAGGCAACACACGGGTCTGCTCTTGACTCCTTCGCTGCTGGCGCTGTAAAGTGGCCGCTACGACTCGCGTTGGTTTGCCCCAGGGTGGTCACCGGTGGCCTTCCATGTCTAATTTCGGCCGCTGGCGGCTGATGAGCGCCATCGTCCTCACCCGCCAAAGGTGCATCACCAACACCCGCTGCCTCACCGTCGCTGACGCCGACTCCCCGTTCCTCCTCGTCCCTTGAGCCCCCGACGTCTGCCCGTCCCAACTCTCCACCAGCGGCCGCCTCCGCCTGCCTCTGCCGGCTCGTGTCCTCCGCCACAGAATCCTTGTCCGCGCCGCGCGTCGCCGGCCGACTCGGCAGCGGCGGGCTGCCCTCCTCCGACTCCGACTCGCTGGGGTAGAGCGAGCGCGCGACCGGCCGAGCCGCCGTCGGCACCGCCGCCTCCGAATCGCTGCGGAGGAACGAGCCGCCGCGGCTCACCGATACCTCGCCCGTCTCGTTGACGCGCACCTCATTCTCGTCCTGCTCAGAGCCGGAGCCTGAGCCGGAGCCGGAGCCGGAGCCGGAGTCCGAGCCGGAGCTGGACTTGGAGGAGCGGCCGGCAGCCAGCAGCAGCCGCCGGCGCCGCGTCGCTTCGCCGCCCTCTGTAGCGGCCGGCTCCCCCGGGTCGCGCCGCTGCTGGAGTGAGAAGGACAATACGGTACGGGCGTCAGCGGGCGTGGACCGACCAGCGCTCGACCCCACCCCTGAAGCCGCTCCAGACGCCGTCGCCTCTTCCGGCGCTGCGGCAGCAACACTCGGGGCCTTGCCAGGCTCTCCTGAGGCATCCTTCGAAGTTTGTCGGTCCTGGGAAATAATACCTGAATTCTTTGCTGCTTCCTGTGGCGGCCGCGCCGCGTTACGGACTTCACCCGGTTTGTGAGCTGCCTTCGTAGGACTGGCAACGGACGGTAGCCGCACAGACGGCTGGCCTGCTGGTTGTAAGTCTTTAGCAGCATTGCTCAAAGTCTGTCCGTCCTTGGAGCCGCCCCCTGGGGATTTCCCGTCATCACGTGACTCATTGATCGCCTCAACGGTCCGGCTATCACTGACAGTTTCCGGCGGAGCTGTATCGGCGAGGCGCTCGCCACCGCCGCCGGCCGGCGCCGTGACGCCCAAGTTCCCGTGCGACGGTCGCTCCTTTCGGTCCGCCTCGTCCGCCTCGGGCTGCAGCGCGGCCGCCAGCTCGGGCCGCTCCGACGACACCGACTCGTCCTCATCGCTCTCTTCGCAGCTCTCCTCCGACCCATCCTCCTGAGCGTCCCCGGAGCCGTCCTCGCCGCTCGCCGAGCGCCGCAACTTGCCGGCCTTCCGCAGCGACGCCTCCGAGGGCTCGTCGATGAACGGGATCGCCTCCTGGCCGGCGGCCGCCGCCCAGTCGTGCTCGGCGGCGGCGGTGGCGCGCGGCGCTGGCGGCCCGGCCGGCCGGCCCTTCTCGCGCTGATCGTGCGCGATCTTAACCTCGGACGGCGCGCCCCGTGCCAGCTCCTGCTTGGCGCGGCTGCTGGGGGTGGTCGGGGTCGTTATCAGAGGCGGCGCGTTTTGCGGCGGCGGCGCGCTCGCCTTCCGCGCCAGCAGCTTCTCGGTGAAGCTCAGCGGACGGGCCGCGTCCCGGTTATTCTGGTACGGGATGTCCCTGACGGTGGCCGGCGGCGGCCGCGGCGAAGTGGGCTGGGTCTGGGGCGGCGGTGCCTGCTGCGGCTGCTGCTGCTCAGAGGCTGCCCCGGCCCGGCGAGCGGCCGGCACTGGCCGAGCCGGCTGCGTCGGCGCCCGCTGAACCGTCGGCTGCTGCGGCGCCGGCTGGTCGGGCGCTGGCCGCTGTGCCGACTTCTGTTGCGCCGTCTGCCGCGGCGTCGCCTTCTGCTGCGCCGCCTTCGACTGGGCCGCTCGCTGCTGTGGTGGCGGTGCCCGCTGCGCTGTCTGCCGCTGGTTGCTCTCCTCCTTGCGGCCCTTGCTGCCGGCGGCGGCGGGGACCGGCGCGGCCGCCACGGGTTGTAGGGCGGGCCGGCCGAGCGGCGCCAGCGGGGCCAGCCCGCCGACCGGCTGCCGGCCGACCGGGCCGCTGATGCCCGGCAGCGGCGCCAGCGGCCGACCGACGGCGGGCCGCGAGCCGGGCCCGGCCGAAAGCGGCGCCAGTGGCCGTAACCGGCCGGGCGCCGCCGCCGGGCCGGCCGGCGCTGGCGCTGGCGCCTCGCGCTCGGCGCGGCGCCGTTCCTCCTCGCGACGCCGCTCCAGCAGCGCGGCGCGCACCTCGGCCTCTTTGCGCCGCTCCAGTTCGCGGCGCGGCGACTCGGAGCCCTCGCTGGCGTGTAGCGACATCTGCGGCGAGAGAGCCCGCCGCCCGGTCAGCGGGGATGAAGGGAGAGCACGCCACCCGGTCCGCGGGGTGAAAGGAGAGCACGCCGCCCGGTCCGCGGGGGTGATGGGAGGTCATGCCGCCTGGCCAGCGTGGGTTGAAGGGCTCACACAGGGACCGGCGACCTGTGTCCGCCATCCGTCAACACTCTCTCTCCCTCTCGACGCTGTCCTCCCAAATTATGGTGCGATGCACGCAAGGTTGATGGCAAAGGTCTACCGCGGTGCACTGACAAAAAAAAAACACATTCACATGACGTAAGATCAAAGTCTTGCGCATCCAGGGGGTCATTCAGTGACCGTTCCGGATGCCCTGCGGCTCGCTGACGGCAAATATCAGACGAGAGAGGCCCACCAGCGTCCGGGGGTGTACTGCCCTGTGGTCCGGACAGCACAGCAGCCCCGACCCCGGCTGACCGCGCCACCGGTGACTCTGCGCCACCCTCCGCCCGCGGGGGTCACCTGAGAGTCCTCCGTCAGGTCCTGGGCCATCTCCAGCGAGTCATCGCGGTCCGGCGCCGTGCGCAGCAGAGTCAGGCGGTCGCCGCCGTGCCGACCCGGCTCATCCTGACGCGGGGAGCGCCCGGTCACACGCGGTTACGGGTCACGCCGGCTCAAGGTCACGACCAGGGCCGAGAGCCGGGGTATGGGGAGTGCAGGCCAGGGCCAGGGGAGCTACATCGTAGACAACAGACCACAGCCTTGTGTCGTGACGGATGTCTCCCGCTTCTGGCACTCAATACACTGAGCACTGGGGCTGACCAGGCTTCGTCTTCTGCGAACTGATTCGGATACAAAATGGCCGATATATCGAAACAACGGCTTTGCCCGTATCAAAGCCTAGAACTTATGATGTATTACGAGACGGAAAAGACGACTAAACCTTGCCAAAGATGCCAAAGATGCCAAAGATACCAATGCATACCAATTTTTCTCTCAGCCAGGAGGCTGATTGTTTTTCATTGATTATGTCTGCATCCTCTTGGTCGTCCTGGTAGTCTTCCTCTTCCTCGTCTAAATCAAACTCGATCTGGTGAACGCTGGGAGCGAATGAGACGTTCTTTTTCTCCCGCTCCTCCTCGGCGCAGAGCCGGCGGGAACGGCCAAACTCCGGCACAGTGCTGCCACCTGGTGACGAAAATAGACTATGGGGCCGAGCTTCACTACGACGCTGTTACACAACGCCACAGAAGATAAACATGAGGGGAAGCGCAGTGCAGCCATCTCGCAACTTGTGGAGAAACTGTGTGGCCAAACCCCGATGTACACCTGCCCATACAGGGCACAGGCTCAAAACCATGCACCCCAGCCCCAGCGCAGCAGCGCCGCTGAGGGGACCCGCATAATACGTGCGTCAGGGTCGACTCCGGCGCGCGGCCGAGCCGCCGGGACGCGGGCATCCGGCGGCAGAGGGGGGGGGGGGGGGGAGCGGGTAATCGGCCGAGGTGGGCAATCGCCTTGATACTTGATAGCATAGCATTTGCCCTCGATGGAATGCTTAAACTAAACCTTGTAAGCATATGGGTCACTAAAATTACGCCGAGTTCTACGGCAACCGCCTGGCGACACCGTTGTAGTTTTGGGCTTACCTGCAGTCGACGACAGCTGTTTGCGGGCCAGTACCACTTTATCCCGGTAGATGGCATCCAAAGGATGCTCCCATCGTGTTTCACCAGAGCGGAAGTTAAAGTAGTAGAGAAGCCCCTGCTGCTCCTCGAAGCTGCAACGCAAGAGACACAGTGAGTTCAACCAACGCATCGCAGTACGACACAATGCTATTAAAACATAAACGAGACCATAGTGCAAATGAAGCCGTCACTCACGCATACTGTGGTGGCGCAAGACGAGGCGCCAAGACAACAACATCGAGCCAGCAAACGCTGGAATGACACACGCGGACCCGATGGCCGCCACAGCTCATCCAGTGTCAGGGCGACCCTCACAGCCCACCCGCGGGGAAGCGCTGCCCCTCCCCTGGTGCGGCCGCCGCCGCCGCCCGAGCGGGCCGCCGCCTGGCACCACTGACCAGGGCTTCCAGCCTGCCGGTAGCGGCGCAGCACTGCCCCCCCCCCCCCCCCGTCCCCTGGCGCGGCCGCCGCCGCCGCCCGAGCGGGCCGCCGCTTGGCAGCACTGACCAGGGCTTCCAGCCCGCTGGTAGCGGCGCAGCACTGTCCCCCCCCCCCCCCCCCCCCCCCCCCCCCCCCCTGACGCGATCCGCCGCGTGGCAGCACTGACCAGGGCTTCCAGCCTGCCGGCAGTGTCTGGTTGACGCCCTCGTCGGCGATGTGCAGCAGGTGCGGCTCGCTCTCCGGGTCGATGCCGATCCGCTTGGCGAACTCGAGCACCTCTGCGCGGCACGGGACAGCACGCGCCACAGTCAGCTGCGCCCACGGGCGGGCTTGGCGCCGGCGCCGGCGCCGGCACGAAACTGAGCAAACGGCACCGCAACACGGCCACACGCCAAACCGTACACATCTAGGCTATATTTATCGAAGAATGGCACACATAAACAATAAGCAGCAAACAATCAGCAGTGGATGCCACACAGCATGTGAAATCATCTATGTGGAGACCTTTTCTTAGCTTGGGCTCATCTGGCTCTGTGTCACAGTTTCCAGCAAACAAACATGGAAGTAGTAGTGCAAAAAACTGTGGGTCAAAAATCTCACACTGCAATACAACACAGAGCATCAGAGTGGACACCTCATACAGCACTGTCACCCACATGCCATCCACCCCTGTATGCAATGCAGAGCTCTCCTGTTTATGCTGTTGTTCTACTTAGCATTTTCCTGCAAAATGAAGTGAGAACACAATCTTAACTGAGTTGAGATACCACACTAACCTGATATTAATAGTCATCTACATAGGCAGTTTTGTCTTACATACATTTTGTATGCAATCAACCAGCTTCAAGGGCCATCCAGCACTTAATACCATACCAATATCACTTAAAAAATATGACCTAATAAAATCATGCACTCTGGACCAGCTCTCAATGTGTCATAGTAATGGAAGACACCTGATTTTGATGCAGTTTCACTTTGCTTTCTGGGAAAATACACACCTTTGCCTGTGAGTGAGACTTCCTGTTCAAACAGACTTGGCACACACTAACAATGTAGCACAGTCACCACTGGACACCCAGCTGATGACTGGGTGATTCATCAGCTGGTCATCAGCAGCAGTATCAGCTCTGAACAACTGACACTTCACAACGGCCCCAAGATTGCTTCTAATTGCTTTGGGTGCCCAGGCAAGAAATGGCTGGCCACTTCTACATGGTCTATCACTTGTGGGAAGAAAAAGATGATTGACTTTTGAGTGGGCCACTCATTTCCCTGAGAATCACTGTGGTTACCAGAGTGATTGCCAAGAAAGGAAGATTACCCTCAACTTACCATCATGAGTGGCTACTGAGTCTTCATCAAATATTTCCTCACATACCACCTGCGCTGCTTTGGCACCTGCCACTGGTCTTCTATTCATCCCAAAAGAACTGAAGGATACCTGAAATAATGTCTTTCAGTACATCATGGATAACTTAACATTGGCTGCCTGATTTACTTTTGGTACTGGGGAACAAAATGTTACCTGCAATAAGTTACATGCAATAAATTCTTCATAAACTGATGCCTCACCAACATACAATGGTAGAACATGGAACGATGCACACCAAACAGCACAGGGATATGTGGAGATTGTAAAATGTGAAGGCGGCTTCTATTTAGGCAAAGTTCTGGATAAAGAAGAAAATTATTAGAGGAATCAAAATCTTTGTGGATCTTAAGATATAATCTTTGATCATATAGCAGTGATCCTGATCTTTGCATTTGCCTTGAATATGAGTGAGCCCAAAATTTGCTATAACAGACCACTTTTTTAGTTCCTGAGGGCTTCTTACTAATACCATAGGCATAACAGTAATAATGCTGGGGTATATTGATGTTTTGACAGGGCCAAAGAAGATAGGAGCACAACCACTCACAATAACTGCTTGGCTGGCTAATTGCACATGCCAATGTGCACATCATCCTTGTAAAGCTTGTAGTTTGCTACCTTGAATATTTTTGGCTTCTGGAACTATAACTTCTACTGCATCAAAATCAATAATATGGTGCAGCTTTGTGGCAAATGCAGCTGTCATTTTCTATGCAGCATTGATTACCTGTGACATTCCAGATATGTTTACATATTCTTCCCATCTGTGTAACAAGTTTTGGTGCAGCAATCCCCACTTTTAGAAAAATGAAAGCAAATTTTGGAATTCATAGTCATGGGAATCCTGTAATAGCACTGTCAAGCAAAAGGATACCCAAATCAGCCAAGAATCAAGTCCCGTAGTTTTCTCTGCTCTATTCATGCAAAAATACTTGCAAAATTCAACACAATTCAACCCGAGCCAGCACAGACACGGGGATTTACATGGTTCAGAGCATTAATGTTACTTGGACATTGAGCACCGCAGCCAGATCTTACCCTGCCCACTGTGCTATTCCCAGATATTTTCATGCAGATACGATAAAATATGTAATACTGTGTCACCTAAGAATCCAAGTTGAGCATGAAATCATTGTAAGATATTCAGTCCGCTCAACAGCTTTCCCTCCTAACATGACATCAAAGCGGATTGAACCAAAAAGGACTGGCTCAGTCCCAGGAATATCTTACGTGAGGTCACGCCCCGTTTCCACTCACTATGCTGCTATGTATGCATAAGGCGATCGTCGCACGTGTTCATGGGCTCCCTACATATCATTAATTTGGTTAGATACCTATTGTTTTAGCCGGTTCCCCACCGACTCCATCAACACTCTCCTCCCCATTGCCACGATGTAAACAAACAGTAAATAAACAGTCCGGATTTATAGTGATGGAAAAAATGTTGGTGCTTTTCATAATGGTACCCTTTTCATGTTTTCATAACCCATTTTTCTCCAAATGATGATTCTTTATGACTTAAGAGTGCCAATAAATGCAATACTGATATGATAGATGAAATGCTATACTGGCTTTAGGCTAATAATCAATTCAAAAAGCATATTTTAAGGGTAAAAACCTAAACACCAATTGGGTATTTCGCCAACTATCACAGAGCCTGCCCATTTCTAAAAATATAATGCATACAATGACGCACTTCTGACGAAGTACCACTGCCAATGATCAATGCTATTTGATCCATTGATTCTGTTGTGAACTTGGTATAAAATGACGTCTTAAGATGGCTCGTGTGGGCTGTGGGGGATTGGATGATAAGTGTTCAGGAACTTAAGTTGTTAAGTGCATTTTCGAGGTACATTATGCATATAGATAAGACTGTGCTAATAGCTCCGTTCCACGTAGAACAGCCAGGAAAGTGGAGGCAGACGTATTGGTAATTCTGCCACAAGCCTTTGTCAGAACGAATAGCAACAGAGCGGTAATTGTGTGCTTATAGTTGTTTTGATATTTGATAATATTAGTAGAGTGATATTTGCTCACTGATGTTTTTTCCAATACCTGTTTCAATGAGGGCATGCAGCCAAAACATTATATCTTCGTTCTGGTTATTCTATGAGGGAAAGGGCTATTAGTACTGTCTTATCCATGCTTAACAACTTTGCCTATACAACCTACCTACACCTTGTGTGCTGGTGACAACACCCATTTACATGTGTTATGCTCATTTTCATAAGATTATTGCTGTCTCTGATGCTATTTCTTGCATTTTATGTGCCCTGTTATATCCATTGGTAGGTTTCATGTGCAATTTACACTATACATGGGGGAAGATGGTTTTGCTGTCACAGCATAATTAAACCATAACAAAGGAAGGGGCTTTGGTCTACACATTAGTACACATATCTGAGCATTTTCACAGATCATGCCATTTTTAGGAATATGTCTCAAAATCCCAGATACAAGTGCTGTTAGGTTCCTTTTATGGGAATCAATATACTTGTGCTTGTTTAGCACTGCTAACTGGCCAGGGGCCGAACCAATATTGCTTTTTTAGATGTCATACTCACCACAGGTTTGTGGGGAGGGGGCACCTGACCTTACAAGAGAAAGGAAAACAGCAAGATGTGGATTTATGGTTCATAAGACCTTGTTCGTCTAGACCTACTTTTTCACATTTGTGCCACAAATGACCCTGGACAGGAAGGAAAAAACAGTGTGACGCATTCTCATTAGGCTACCCCCCCCACCCCACCCCCTAAAAAGAATCCTAGCTGTTCATCTATCTCATAGGGATAAGGCTAAAGCTTGCAGCTAGTGTTAAACACAATGGGTGCAGGGCACACCATCCAAAGTGTCTGATTTGTACCTGCATGACATTTTCACATATAACATGCAGGTTTCTTGGTCCCAAGATATTATGATATTATCAAATATATGCTAGAAAGACTGTGACCATATTTTTTCTTGTTATGGCATGAATCAGCAATTAGTTGTGATAGCTGTACTGGTCAAGCTTGCAGTGCATGAAGAAAGTTCTAGACCTTTGAATGGGTACCACACTATGTTCCACCTCACTTCCTTGGCAGAGGGTGGATCTTATATGTGCATAGTCTATGTATATATTGTGTTCTCTGCCTTTGTTGCAGGCATTTAAAGTATTGCCTGGCCTGGCTGAAACTTGTTGCAAGAGGGAAGGGATTGGGATGCAGTATATACTTGGCATCTATAAATAGTATGAAAATATGATCCAATACATAATATTCACCATGTCCATGACTAGTATGCACACAAACAGAAAACAGTACCAAGGCATGCAGAGATGAGTGCTTGTGTAAACTAAAAGAAATACAGCAATGTTAGAACTATTAATCTGGTAGGCATTGGGTCCTTGCTTTATGAAATTGTTGCAGTAGGCAAAGGAAACCTTGTAAAGAACTTTTGGAATAAAATAAGTCCTTCACCAGGGTTGCTGTTTGTTGCTATGGCTGCATGCAATCATAAAAATGATCCAGCATTTTGTTTTGAGCCTCTCCTTTTATTTCTTGTTTTCACAATGCAGTATGTCCAATATGTCATCTTGGTGCTTTCTGCCAAGGTGCTAAGTATGTGCCATCTATTGAACATAGTTGCAGTACAGACCTATAGCAGAGTCATTCCATCCCCATTAAAACCAGGCCAGTGGCCACTGTAACTGACAGTTGTGTGCTCGCATGGGTTCTGCTGCTCATTATGATGGATGTTAACACTGGCTCTTAGAATCATGTTAATATTGAGTTATGTGTATCCTTGAAATGGTTATATAATTATATCTGTGGCATTTTATCTTTTGTTCTGGTCATGTAAAATGATTCATGTTATTGGTACTTGTGTTTCAGAGGACAAGCCTGTGCCCACACTTTTTTGGGAAATATAATGGTTGTCTAATGGATTATCTGCCATTGTTGGGTGGATTGATAGGAGCAGTCGCAGTGGGAGTGTACATTTACAGAAGGTAGGTTTGTCATAAATGGGTGAAAAGTTTTACCACCCCTCTGCTTTATGAAGCCTTGATGACAGTACAGCACACAGTGCTGTTATAAAACAAAGAAGGCCTTTCAAGTATTCTATATTTCATTAAAAATGTACATTCTAGGTCATTTCTGAGCTACCATGTAGCACAATGCTCCAAAGTGCAGCATCATTTAACCAAAGGGCCTTCAGCAAATGACCTAAGTATCTATGATCAGCTGATGGCAGCGTAGTTCTTCGTCCGCGTCCTCTTTCCTCCCCGAGCCGGCCGCGTAGCGTGGCGCAGCTGGCGGCGGCGGCGGCGGCGGCTGACGACGCCGCGCCCGTGTCTGTGCCTGTAGAGCCAGAGTAGCCGGCGAGACGTGCGACTGCACCGACCGCGTAGATGGCAAAGTAGTCCTAGTGTCCGGCGCCAACTGCGGCATCGGACGGCAGGTGGCGCGCGAGCTGGCGCTTAGAGGTAATCTGCCTGCTGGCGCCCGCGGGCGTAGCCGCAGAGGCTCGGGTGGGGCCTCCACTCTGCATGAGCTGTAGCAGCACTGCAAGGACTCAGTTCCCGTAGCTTGGGCAGATACGCTTCGGTCGCGTTTTCATTTTCGGGACCGAGGCATTTCTGTCTCCATTTTCCGACTTAAGCCGCTGGTTTTTCCGCTGTGCCGTGCTGTATGCTGTTTGTTGTGCGCCGTGCGTTTGGCACGTCCGTTTGCTTCGTCCTCATCCTACCGACATCTTACACGTGGCTGTACTCAGGTTCGCGTCTCTATTCCGATGTGAGTTCTTTACGTGCTCACACTCGAGCGCACAGCCTAATGTTGCCGTAACTCGACATAAGGTCTTCGTGTTCGTGGAGTTCGACCCGAGCTCTACACGTGTCTATACTCCGACATCAGACACTGTCCAGTCCGTGCTCCGTCCTAGATGCTCGCCGTTAAGGCCTTGCCCCGGCCTAAGCATTCACGTCTTCCTGTTCCGACACATATGGTCACATCCCTGTGTTCCAGGATGACTTCTTCTGTTATTTCAATATGCCAATGTGAGGTCATCACACCTCCGTGCTCCCATGCGTGCTCTGCATGATGTGTGGGGGATGCCTAACTTGCATAGACTTGATATAAGGCGACATAACATTTCCAAACTCTGTCCAGATAACGAGCAATCATAGAAAAGGACCTCCGGAGTTATGACCTTCATTAGCCGCTTGCCGAAAGCTTAAGCCAGCTGAGTACTGTACAGGCTGTATGGTCATAACACCCACAACATCATGACATTTTATTCGTGCATGGGCATTAAACGTGCATCATACTACAATCACCTGAATTCGGGCGAGCAAAACTGAAAGCAAGCATGCATCTAATCCGACCCAATAAATGTCGGCGTTTTACTTTTCTGTCATGTGTGTTTAAAATGTCAAGGAGGTGCGTATGTGCACTAACAGTCAATATAAAACATTCGGGATTTTACTTGGTTCGTGTTTCCGAGAACAGCTCGTGGCTGAGGTGTCGTACGCCAAACTAGTCTCACATTTGCACAACATGTGGCCGCACCTCTGAGCACTCGGCTGCTTCCTTCGCCCCGCGACACCAAGTGCAACCAAATGTTATCAAAAGCCAGCGGGCTGTTTCACAATCCGAGCGTTGATCGGACAGCGGAGCCGGGTATATACCCGAGGTCGCATGTCCCCCGCGGTCGGCGGGAACCCGTCTGGCCGCCAGGGGAACGAGTGGTGATCATGGCTGTAAGGTGGCGTGTGCGTGTGTTGTGTATATCCCGCGTGGGTTGGAGGGCTGTCGTCCTCGTGTCACACGTATGATCGCTGCAGACAGTCCCTACACCGTCGGCGCCAGGGCGTGCGCCTGCTAATCCGGTCAGACGGACGGCGCCTTCTAACCCGGTCAGACGGACGGCACCTTCTAACCCGGTCAGAGGGACGGCGCCCTCTAACCCGGTCAGACGGACGGCGCCTTCTAGCCCAGTCAGACGGACGGCGCCTTCGAACCCGGTCAGACGGACGACGTCTTCTAACCCGGTCTGCCGGCCAGGCGCCCGGGTGTACCTGGCCTGTCGGTCCCGGACGGCGGCGCGTCAGGCGGCTGACAGCATCATCAACGAGACGAGCAACACGTCCGTGCGGCCGTTGCAGCTGGACCTCAACAGCCTGGCCTCTGTCAGGCGGTTGGTGCACGAGTTCAGACAAGGTGCGCCCCCCCCCCCTCCGGCCTTCTCGTGTCTGCCAGGGGTCGTCGCGGCCTCCGCTGACTGCGACCATCACTCGAGTTTAACCGTGATTCATACAGCGCGCCTGTGCCCAACGCTAAACGGTTGGATAGATGGACTTTGCTACTGGATAGTATATGCAAATATGCTAAGGGCAGGTGGGAAGCGTCCAATGTTTGTGCAGCATGCATAACCCTCGGCCGTCATATCATCAGAATCATCAAAAGTGCCATCATATGAAAATGTGATGGCGGCGCTGATCGTATGGCCGGCGGCGCTGATCCTGGCAGTCGCCAGTTGACTGCGACGAACTTTCCACGTGGCGGTGGAATGGGTGGCAGTAACTACATCTCTTTCGTACGATGTAAATGCGGTCGGATGTGATGGGTCCCCGATCCGGCCGCGTGGCTAAGCGATATGCTCCTGACTTCCAGTCGAGTCGCAGCTCGACATCTTGATCAACAACGCCGGCTGCTTCTATTGCCCGCCGTCACTGACCGAGGACGGATTCACCGTCACCTTCCAGACCAACTACCTCGGTAGGCGCGGTGCTTCAAACAGTCAGTGGTACAGCTGCTCTGCCTCCTGCTGAGCCCGCCACTCTCATGCGAGTCTCTCGTCAAGCTTTTGTCTGATTATTGGTTGCTGGCTTCACTTTCGTGCTCACTCTCGGACGGCCGCGTGGACTGCCCTCTGTGACCTTCAGGACCCCTCGCTCACCGGGCCGTGACGTCACTCAAGGTCACCTGTCCGGCCGGAATTCAACATAGGTATTGGGCGCGTCGACTTCGCCGGGCGCGGTCTTCCCCGAGCAGGTCTAGCACCGGCGGTCGACTCTGCGGCGTCACTCCGCCGCGTACGCTGAGTTATGGGTCCTGGGCTGTCCTCGGCGGCCTCCCACCGTCCAGACCGCAGCCCGGCCGCCTTGTGCGGGAGGGCACCCCCAGCCCCGCCGTCCAGTCCGCTCCCTCCAGCCGACTCCCGCTCGCCCGGCAGGCCACTTCCTGCTGACGCGGCTGCTGGCGCCGCAGTTGCTGGCTTCGGGCGCCGGCCGCATCGTATTCGTCTCGAGCCAGGCGCACCTGGCGCCGGAGAAGCTGGGCTTCGACTGCGCCGGCCGCGCGCCCGACGGCAGCGCCACCCGGCCGCCGGCCGTGCCCGAGCCCCGCCAGGCGGCGCTGCGCTACCACGTGGCCGCCTACGGCCAGGCCAAGCTAGCGCTGGCCGTGCTGGCCGCGGAGTTGGCTCGGCGCTTGCGCGGTGCGTTGTCGGCAGGGCCCGGCAGGCCGCCGGGGCGTCAGCTCCACCCCCCCAGCGGAGCTGGAGCTGACGCCCCTGACGGGGGGTGCGCGCCGTGGCGGCCGGATCGGGTGTCGCTCTGGTGTCGCTCGAGACGGTGCAGCTTCAGCAGGTTGTGTGTGGACCAGTGTCGGGGAATTAACCTGCTGGGTTTTTCCATGCGGAAAATAACCCCCGCAGCCTTTGCTGTAAGGTGTTCCACTGTTTTTGCTGTCTGCAGCATAATGCTATGATGAGAATACCGGTGTGATATCCGATAATGGGTGGCTTTGGCCTCTGTGCAGAATTTGAAATATGTGAAGTGAAGATGGATAGCTTAAAGACACATCCCCGTGCTCCATTCATGCTTGTCACAGTTCTCTGCTGTGGAAAAACCACTCCCCAGTCTAGGATCGCGGACCCAAAATCAAGCACTCGCGTGAACTGCTCCCAGTTGGCTGCTGGGCGCTGCGCACTGCTAAGTCGCCGGTGGTGACTGGTGATAGCGCTGTGTCGGGCTGCGCGGTCAGCGCTGTGCGGGCTAGCGCTGTGCTAAAGCGCCGTGTCTGTGCCGGTAGGCAAGGACATTTGCGTCAACAGCGTCGACCCGGGGAACGTCAACACCGACATCTACCGCCACTACCGGGAACTAAACACCTTCCACGTCCGTCTGCTGCGGTAAGCCATGGCGGGGACGGCATCACTGCACGCCCATCCGTCCCGCACTGGACTGAGCCGGACGAGAGAGGCTCAGTGGCGCGGCAAAGAAGAAGCTGTGGGGTTTATCACCCCGTCTAAAGCTGGCGGCAGCCGCCTGGAACCGAAGGCCGAGTACCTTTTGGCAGAACAAAACGCCGGGGTGCTGGTAGTGTAGTGGTTAACGCTTGTGCGTTAACCACTGCGTGTCTGGGAAACCAGAGGTACGGGGTTCGATTCCCCGCAGTGCCCGACATTCCTGCGAGGGTGGGGGGCAGGCGACGCCATATAGCCTTAGCAGCTCAGTGCGTCGTAAAAGCCCCAATGGCGGTATAAAACGCCGACAGAGCTTGCAAAACAATTGAATAACGGACTCTTAAGGCATCGGAGCAGGATTCCGAGATCAGGAGATCCTTTGAGTTCATCCCACGGCGACGAAGAGCAGTCACCTTGACTGAAAGGGCCCCCATGAGCCATTTCGACCCCCGCTGGACACGCCCCTGCTCTGGCGGGACTGGAGCCTGACGCGCCGGCGCGCCGCTGCTGCAGGCGTCTGCTGATGCGCACCCCCTGGGAGGGTGCTCAGACGGTGATCCACTGCGCCGTCAGCTCCAAGATCGACGGCGTCACCGGGCAGTACTTCCGGTAAGGTCGCCTGGCTTCGGGTGACGTCATGGTTGGTGGAGGTGACGGACAAAGCCTGTGGTGCGAGTACATGTCATTGGAATTCCGTACGTTTTCGTTTTTTGTGTTACTTTTGAGAGTTGCTCGTATCGCTTTGGTGCGTCGTATTGCATTTATTATGTTGGTTCGCCCCTGCTAACGAGCCCTGTGCAATTCCGTGACTTTCGAAATAATTTGCCGTGGCGTTTCAATTGCTTCGACTGTCAGTGGTGGGCGTCTTAATCATGGAACGCGCTGCCAATACGGATCATGGTGAACCATGGACGTCGACAATTGCACCATCGTATTGCATTACTGTCGCATTAATGTGACGTCACTTCGCGTTGTCTCGCGCGTAAGTGGTGGCAGTCACCGGTAGCGTGGCGCCGGCCGTCCATCCGCCGTCAGGGACTGCACGATCGCCGACGCCAACCCTCTGGTGCGGGACCGCGCGCTGGCGCAGGAGCTGTGGCGCACCAGCGAGCGCTGGACCGGCCTGAGCCCGCTCTGACGCGCGCCATGCGGCCGCCGACGCTGTGGCGCGCCGCCGACGGCGCCATCGAGCGCGAGGTGACGGCGGCGCCCGCGGCAGCGGCGGCGGCGGCGGCGGTGGCCGGCGGCGACGCGCCGGCTACCGAGCTGTGCCAGCCGGGCGCCGACTGCAGGCTCCGGCTGGAGCTGGAGCAGCCGCCGGCGGCGCTGGTGTTGCACGACCCGGCCGTCAGCGAGTGGGTGTCGCGGCAGCGCGCCACGCTCGGCAGTGCGGACACCGAGCTGGACCGGCTGCTGGAGCGGTGCGTGCTGACGCTGCGGCCGGGTGACGCGTGCCGTGCGCGGCTCCGGCTCCGCACGGACCGGCTGCCCGGCGCCTGGGACTGCACCGAGCTGCAGCTGGTCGCGCACGTCGCGGTGCTCTCGGCCAGCGGCGGCTGCGCGGACGTGGCGCTCAGCGACCGCCAGCGGCTGGAGCTGGCCGAGCGCGATCGCCTCCGCGGCAACGAGCTGTTCGCCGCCGGCCGCAGCGTGGACGCGTTCCACCGGTACCGACGCGCGCTGGCGCTGCTCGTCTATCTGCGGCCGGAGCGGCTGGAGGAGGCGGAGCGCGCCGCCGCCGCTGCCGGCCGCGTCGCCTGCCGCGCCAACCTGGCCGCCTGCCAGCTCGCGCGGCGGCGCCACGAGGCCGCCCGCGCGGCCGCGACGCGCGTGCTGGCCGAGCAGCCGGACCACGTGCGCTGCCTGTATCGGCGCGGCGCGGCCAACCTGGCGCTGCAGGAGCTGGAGCGAGCTGAGCGCGACCTGGGCCGCCTGCTGCAGCTGGAGCCGGGCAACGCCGCCGCCGGCCGTCAGATGGAGCTGCTGCGGCGGCGGCGGCGAGAGCTCGACCTGCGCACTGCTCAGTACATGACCAAGTACTTCCAGTCGTGAGTGGCGCGGTTCGCCGCCCTCGGCCGGTGCCGGCGGGCGGCTGGTGACCGATCGCGCGGCGTGCTCCTCGCGGCGCGCGGGACTCGCCACGCCGCCGTACATGGCAGACGGCGGCGGCAGGCCTGTGGTGGCGGCGAGGCTGTGCGCCACCTGCCGGCGGCGTGCGTTCGCGTGCTTCGCGCCTGGCCTCCGTCGTCGCCGGCCGCTACCCCCGCAGCATCGTCTCGTTCGGCGGACGTGCGTGGCGCCCTCTGTCGGCCGTGTTGCCTCCCTGCCCCAGCTGGCCCGAGACGGCGCGGATTCGGTGGGGCACGTGGGCGGGCCGCCGCGTCTGCCTCATGGGCCGGCACCGGGGGGCGGGCCCTCCCGTTGCCGCGGGCTGGGTCTCACCGGGGCCGCCATGTACCGGCGCCGCCGCTTCCGTGATCTGGTCGTGCTGGTGGCGGGCCGAGGCGGCGCGCGGATGCACTCGGCCGCGCCGGCCGGCTTCTGAGATGGTTATTCAGCCGTCTGTGATTTGAATGAGCTGTTCTGTGTCATGCTTTACGCTTGGTAGTTGTGAGCGCATGCCACACAGGCTTAGCCAAAATGCAATGTCGAAATCGAGATTGTTTTTGGCACTGTCATTGTGGCCTCCAGGTGAAGTAGTTGAGAATCGCCGACTAACGCGGCGCAGAACTCACAACACAGGCGATCAACAGTGCGTGGTGAACCGACCCCACCTCTGTGCAAAGCTCAACACCTTCAGTCCTTCAGTTGGCGGCCAAAGCGTTGACGGCCGGCGGAGACACGAAGCGAGGCTAGCAGACAGGCGCTCCAGTAACATTCAGGCGTGTTTGAACGTCACGCGATGATGCACTTTGTGGTCTGGTCGATTCTCCCGTAATTCTGCGCTAGATTTTGACACCAAAAAGCACCAGAGGCAATGAATCTCGTTGCAATGAGGATGGAGGGATGGCGAGCGAGCGGGAAGTCAACGTTGCGAACTTGAAGCCCTGTAGACATCAGTTTGGCTGGTAATGGAGAATTCCATTGCAGGCTTTCCAGAGGGCGGTAATCGATACATGTCACTGGAAGCCTAGCTCAGGTGTGATATCCGATGCGTTTGCGCAGGTAGGCTCAGTGTCGTTTGTCAAGGTGATGCGCTACGGCACGCCTGGGTTTGGCCCAGTTCCGGTTGCTGCCAGCCAGCGCAATAATAACTCGACGAGGTATGACGCATTTTTCAATAATGTGACGCAGGCAGTTTCGTGATGTATAGCCTGGGGCTTTGAACGCGTGTCCAAGGCTCTGAAAACAACTTGCGCCAAAGACCTTGAAACATCTCACATATTTGAACAGGTTACTTAATAAAAAATCGTATCGTATTTTCACTAAAAGCATCTATTCGTTCTCAGAACTCCGTATCGCTTATATGTGTACAGAATTTTCTTGCTCACAAATATATCCTCCACAATAATAATATATCCACAAATAACAAAATATATATCCACAAATAAGTCCTCTACATCTACGTACTCTAAATATGAAGGCATGTGCCCGCGGCGGAGAGCCCGTGGAGAGGCGTGTTTATATTATTGGAGGCGTCCCTGCGCACGCCTTGAATTAACATGTACCAATGTATATTGATCTTTTAATACATCCTTTTCACCTCAATTTTGTCGTTACGGTATTTTTGTAGACAACACCCCGTTTATCCGGGATAGATCACGAGCAAGGACAGCTGTAGTTGTAAGGCCAGCTCTTCCTCGAATACACCCGTGCGTCAGATCGATGAAGAATGTCTGATCTGGATATTTCTGCCGCGACCTGCGCGACCTAAGAGAGATTGCCGATAATTGCGTTCGTGGTGGCGCTGTTGGGACTGTCGACGCGGGTTTCGCGACGCCCTGCTTCCTATCTGGATAATTACGAAGCTGACGGCAGAAGCCCGATGGGAAATAATATCAGCGCGGAGGCCTCGAGATTACGTAACAACGTTATGGTAGCCGTCCGCCGCATTCCCCCCGCAGCATTGGCATCTGCCTTCATATCGGGACCTCCACACAACCACCCGAGGCGCAGCTGGCTGGAATGGCTTCAGATCATGTGGAGATCTATTCGCGGCCTGCGCAGATTTTGCGAATTCATCTGATGACGTGTCAATGTGCCGCCAGCGCTTACGTGTGCGGCGCGGCACATCATTTTGGATCGGTCGACATTGTGCTTACGAGTGAACCTTTGAACGGCCAGAGATGCAAGCGAAGATTTTCTGCTTCAAGAGAACGTGATTCGTACGATCGTAAAAGCGGTAAAAGATTCAGATTAAGGTTCAGGTCGATACTTGCCCGGAAGCGGATACTTGACTGACCTGAAAATCACCGATGTAACGTGGCCTTATGATCAAAATGAGCGGAAAAACTTACGCCAGCCTTAGGCTTTTACGGGATGTTACTCATGTTACGGATTAGCGGAGTTGCGAATACTCAGAACTAACGCCTTCAATTTTCGTAAAATTATGTTTATGATAGATATTGTCATATCATGTCATTGGGGCTTTACGACGCGTTCAGTTGCTGAGACTATATGGCGTCGCCTGCCTCACCCTGGCAGGAAAGGCGGGGAATTGAACCCCGTACCTCTGGTTTCCCAGACACGCCGCGGTTTACGCAGACGCATTAACCAATACACTACCGGCAACCTTTTTATGATAGATATGAATTCCCTCAAGTACAAAAGCCGAGACGGTCAAAACTATTGCGGGACCCATATCAGGCCGGACTCTGGAATTTCTATCTCAATATGCATCTGAATATGTAGCTGAACATGTCTCCAACCTGACCAACGTCCCGGAATGGACACACACATTTACATTGGTGTCGACTATCGATCCCACTTCAGCTGCCGTGTCTACGCAGGCAAACACGTCCTCTAACCCCCCCCCCCCTCCCCCTCCTCTCATCCGGGGACACGACTGGCTCCACGGGCAGTGGCCTGTCAGTCCTGGGAATATGCTAACAACCTTCAAATCTCTCTTTGAACATGGCAGATGATCACTTGGTACACAGATCAAAGCAGTCATTATGGAAAGACGTAGTACTCTACACTTGGGCTTGCACGTAGTAAGGCAAGGATCAGTATCTGATGAAGGTGACGGGGCTGCGCTTTTTCTGGAACGTGGCCTTATGATCAAAATGAGCGGAAAAACTTACGCCAGCCTTAGGCTTTTACGGGATGTTACTCATGTTACGGATTAGCGGAGTTGCGAATACTCAGAACTAACGCCTTCAATTTTCGTAAAATTATGTTTATGATAGATATTGTCATATCATGTCATTGGGGCTTTACGACGCGTTCAGTTGCTGAGACTATATGGCGTCGCCTGCCTCACCCTGGCAGGAAAGGCGGGGAATTGAACCCCGTACCTCTGGTTTCCCAGACACGCCGCGGTTTACGCAGACGCATTAACCAATACACTACCGGCAACCTTTTTATGATAGATATGAATTCCCTCAAGTACAAAAGCCGAGACGGTCAAAACTATTGCGGGACCCATATCAGGCCGGACTCTGGAATTTCTATCTCAATATGCATCTGAATATGTAGCTGAACATGTCTCCAACCTGACCAACGTCCCGGAATGGACACACACATTTACATTGGTGTCGACTATCGATCCCACTTCAGCTGCCGTGTCTACGCAGGCAAACACGTCCTCTAACCCCCCCCCCCCCTCCCCCTCCTCTCATCCGGGGACACGACTGGCTCCACGGGCAGTGGCCTGTCAGTCCTGGGAATATGCTAACAACCTTCAAATCTCTCTTTGAACATGGCAGATGATCACTTGGTACACAGATCAAAGCAGTCATTATGGAAAGACGTAGTACTCTACACTTGGGCTTGCACGTAGTAAGGCAAGGATCAGTATCTGATGAAGGTGACGGGGCTGCGCTTTTTCTGGAACGGTTTCTCAAAGGCTGATTTGCGTGAAATGCCTTAGAACTTTCCAAGTTGTTTCGGAAAAGTTAGTTTAGTTATGTTAACCTTCACTGAGAGGGGAATATTTCCACTAGCGCGGTCGGCGATGGGTTATGGCAGACGCCTCTT